ACATCCAATTTTTCCTTCACCTTTTATTTTTTTTTATTTATTTTTTTTTTTTGAGACAGAGTCTCGCTTTGTTGTCCAGGCTAGAGTGAGTGCCGTGGCGTCAGCCTCGCTCACAGCAACCTCAAACTCCTGGGCTCAAGCGATCCTTCTGTCTCAGCCTCCCAAGTAGCTGGGACTACAGGCATGCGCCACCATGCCCGGCTAATTTTTTTTATATACATATCAGTTGGCCAATTAATTTCTTTCTATTTATAGTAGAGACGGGGTCTCGCTCTTGCTCAGGCTGGTTTCGAACTCCTGACCTTGAGCAATCCGCCCGCCTCGGCCTCCCAGAGAGCTAGGATTACAGGCGTGAGCCACCGCGCCCGGCCATCCTTCACCTTTTAGATAACTTTTTTAGGCGCTGTTTGTGTGTGTGCGTTTGCACGCATGCATGAATTTTCTGGGTTTATGAAAAATACAAATATACTTATTTCTTCACTTTATATATAAGACATCATACTATATATATAATTCTGGATTTGGGGGGCTTTTTTTTGTTGTTGTTTTTTGAGATAGTTGTGCTGTGTCATCCAGGCTAGAGTACAGTAATGCTACAACCTCAAACTTCTGGGCTCAAGTGATTCCCCTCCCCTGCTTCAGCCTGCCAAATAGCTGGTACCACAGGTGTGTGCCACCACACCTGGCTAATTTTTTCTATTTTTTGTAGAGACAGGGGTCTGAGCTCTTGCTTAGGCTGGATCTCCAATGCCTGGCCTCAAACAATCCTACCATGGCCTCCCAGAATGCTAGGATTACTAGTGTGAGCCACTACACATGGCCTGTATTTTGTATTTAATGTTTATGTAGACCATTCTGGAAATTTTCCATTTTCATAGGTAGATAACTTAAATCTTCATTTTTATAACTACAATTTCATTGTATAAATGTATTATAGTTTATTTAACCAGTTCTCTGAATGTGAGCATTTAGGTTGTCTCTAATACTGCAGTGAATAACATTGCACATATGTTAATCTAATGTATTACAGGAATATCTATAAGATAAATTCCCAGAAGTAAGCTTGATCAAAAAGAAATCTACATTTATGATTTTGATAGATACTTTCAAATTTTGCTTCATGGGTCTTAATTATGAGATGGCTGTTTACCCATAGTTTCATCAACAGAATATGTTGTCAATTTTGGAATTTTGCCAATCTGATCAATGAAAAACATTTTGGCAAGAGTAGGTATGCTTTGCTGAGTGAGATTAACACCTTTTCAAATGTTGGAAGGCCATTTCTGTTTGTTTCTATTTCTGTGAACTGTCTTTCCTTTGTTCATTATTCTCTTGGGTTCAGCTCTTGATCTCAATTTTTCAGAAGCTTTTTGTGTATCAGGAAGATAATATCCCTGTTAAATGGATTATAAATATATTTTTCAGTTTGCATTTGTCTTTTGACTTGTTTTGCTCTCCAAAAGTTTTTAAGTTTTATTTAGTTGAATTTAGCATTTTTTTCTTTTATGACTTTCAGATTTCTCATCCTAGTTATAAAGGTGTTTGCCATGTTTCTTCTAGTTCTTTTCTGGTTTGTGCTATCCTTCCTTCCTTTCAACATTTAAATCTTTGATCCATTTAGAATTTATCCTGGTATATGATATGAAATGTCAGTAAAACTTTTTTCTAGATTAGGGTTTCAGTTCCAACGTCAATTATTAAAAGTTCATCTTTACCCTATTTCAGATGCTACCTTTATCTTATTCACATTTATTTTATGTGTTGAGGTCTGTTTTGGTTTTTCTGTCTTGTTCCATTGGTCTCTTCATCTGTTGTATAGGTGTTGTCATGAAGAGCAAATAATAAAATTAAGCCTACAAAAATGGAATGAAAAAGGACTAACTGACTTGCCTTGGTAATAGAGCGGAAAACCAAAGTTTTGCCTGCTGATGAAATATACATACAACTTGGAGTCATCATATGCAAAGCATAAGGGAGCATAGCTTTATTTGAAGTGCATTACTGGAGTGCATGAGGGAAATTACCAAAGAGCTGAGGGGTAGATAGTCTCATATCATTGATGGCCTTTTATGCTACATTATGGAATTTTAACTTTGTCCTATAAATAATGGGAAAATTTTTAGCAGACCAGTGAATTGTGAGATTATATTTTAGATAGGTTCAATGCTAAGTTCAGTGGACTCAGCAGTCTATACATGGATCTCAGGTTACATGAACCCTTTGAAATTTTTAGAGAGAACATCTGAGGTTTTCATTAGATTCTCAAAAGAAATATTTCATGCATGCATGCATGCATAAAAGTTAATTCCTTCTTTAGAAAGATTTGTGTGGCAACATGGGATAGCTTAGATTGGATGGGGTTTAAAACTAAAGGTTAGATCGCCAATCAGGGAATTTGGGCATTAAGTAGGAAGAAGATGAAGGTGGTAGAGGGAAAAATGAGCTTTCCTTTCAGCTCATTATTTCTTGGAAAGTAGAGCCAGTTTTCATTTTTCCCAGTAGTTATGTTCTGTAAAATCGCTACAAACACTGAATTAGTGGATACTGAACCATTGCCCCTCAGGGAAATACAGGGTTATTGCTATATAATGAGCCAAAGATGGACTTTGTATATTGACCCCTAGGCTGTTTATTTCTTCACAGCAGACTGGGACCTGTTAGCTTAAAAGTATGCTTGCACCAAACTAAATTTTGCATATCTAATTGTTTTAAACATACTCCTGATAAGCAGTTTTTTAGACACGGAGAGCCTGCCTACTTTACAAACCCCACAAAACTGCTTTGCAGTCAACATCTGCTATCCATAAATAAGGTAAACTTCCAGGACTATAAAGACCCCAAGATGCTATTGCCCTTTGGAGCTCTTTGATCCAGAGACTCCTTGCCAGGCTGTTGAGCAGTGTCACCTATATATAAAAGCTCCTTCTCCTATGCCAGTCTTCCCTGAGAGCTCCCATGCTCTCCTGTTTTGAGTAGTGGCCCCTCTTCTGCAGTCTTAAACTGTTAGGGACTTCCCCTGTATGCAAAGCTGTCAAAATATCACCCAATAAAGCTCATGCATGCTACTGCCACCTTGTGGTCATATCTTTTTCTTTGCTCAGACCCCAGATCTCTCCAACTCAAAATTGGTAGGTAGGTTCTGCTAGCCTCTGGTCATATTTTTGTCAGTCGATTAATACATAATCTTGTTTTTTGTGTGTTTCTGTTTAAAAATACCTTAGTTAGTATATATTGTTGAGTCGACTATAACTCATGCCTGACAGAGGCTTACCTAGCTTAACTCTGCCAGGCCCATTTCACCCTTCATGCATTTAAGAGCACTAAACAGCATTTCAGCACTAAGCTTGGAGACAATTTTAAACAGCAGAATCACCAACAAAAGCACAAAAGTGCAAAAAATGTGGCACCAAATAGGCTGTACACAAGACACTTGTTTATAGTGTGAAAATTGAAACAAGGCAGAGCGTCACTTTGTTCAACTTCAGCTAGAAAGATGCGTACTTAGGTGACTCAAATTTTTCACTGCTCCAAGCTTGTCCAGGAAAGTGCTGCAGTGTTGACTTTTGAGTTACAAATAAATCTTAGCAAGTAGACAGATTGGCAAATACAGACCCCATGAATAATAAGGAGCAATCATACCAATCCAGTCTCCTCTTGAATTGTAAACCCACTGCCCAATGACAAATTTTTCCCTTGTTGGACAGTTTTAGTGATTATATTGCTACAATCTGCTTCCTGTTATTTCTAGCCATGGTCCCAATTAGGCTTTCTGGACTATTGCCCCTTCAATATACTACTTAATTCAACTGTCTTACTCCTACCTTTACTCCATTTTTCCCCTCTAGCATAAAAATTCCTGGTTTCTTTGGAAACTTTGGTTTTCAAGGCACTTTAGTGATTTAAGTGAACAGAATGTTTAATATTATTGTTACAAACTAATACATCTCCTCCTCCTGTGTTACACCTCCCCCCAATAAAAACGACATTCTCTGTACACTCACTGCCACACTTTAGTCCACATCTTCAGTTACAAATTATTCGAATTTTCCTTGGCGGGGGATAAGGCAAGGAAAAGGTTAGGGATAGAGATAACTTTAAATATACAGAAAATTCTTATCTTTCTTTCCTTTAACCCATTCCCTCCTCTCCCAGTGCCATCTCTATTTCTCCCTATGTTAGCTTCATTCTGTAACCAGATTTTTTCAGTGTAGTGAGGAAGATAGCCATCAAGGGCTCCAGATTTATATCTTCTTGGCATGCTGTAACTACAGTAGAAACAGTGTCCATGTATCATTTTAGGGAAGAATTCAAGCACTGTTTGGGTCAAATATCTAACCCTGGACCAGTAGCTATTGCCAGGGATATGGGAAACTAACTAGTCAGTTTATGTCATCTGTGGCTAGAAAAGTATCAACCCTTGATTGATAGCTTTTCTAGTACCATGTGGATTTCTAGAGAAGGGCAGGTTCCCAGAGGAAATAGGGGCACTAGGCAACTAAACAACAAATATCAATTATACATATTAAGACCAGTATTTTCTTCCTGCTATATTTAAGCCTGGTAAGGTTTCTCTTAAGGATCATTAGTGTGATTGAACAATTACATAGTTTTCAGCTTTGAACAATGTTGGATCAAAATTGATTTTGCTTTTAATATCAACATCTGTTATTTTTCAGTAGTGGATATATTATGTTAGTGGGTGTATTATAGTGTATACTGTTTTACTTTCTGTTCTTTTTTATATGTTTAAAATATTTCATAATTTTAATAAAAGATCAAAAAATCAGTTTTGCTTTAAGTTGATAAATAATAGATATTTGAGTTATAATTTCCTTTTAATATTAAGTTAGCTGTAGAAATTATGTTGTATCTAATTTAGTAGCACATATAACATTTTAAAGGTGCTATATTATAAAGGTAAGTTATTGAGGGTTTTTTTTAAATGATGTGGGAAAAAATATGTCCCTTTACCTCTTATCAATATGTTTATGATACCGTAGGTACCTGCAAGGTGTGGAGTTACAGTCCGAGACAGTCTAAAGAAAGCACTGATGATGAGAGGTCTAATCCCAGAGTGCTGTGCTGTTTACAGAATTCAGGATGGGTATGGTTTGTATGTGATGTAAAATTTTGTTTAAAAAGAAAAAAAAATCAGACATTAAACTTTGAGGTTTTCTCTAGAATCTTTACCTAAACCTAGGGAATCAAAAATCAACTTTAGAAAAAAATAATAATATTAAGTAACCTGAAGAAATCTTGTAGACCATTTGAGGAGTTAAATTAGATAATTTTGGGTGACTGTAGTGTTTGTTACTCTGACCAAATGACTTTATTTGGAATTTGAGATTCTTACAATTTTTGAACCATTTAGAGTGTGATTTATTTGGATAACAGACCCTTACCCACTCTCCCATTTTTAATACAAGTTCTTAGCTTAACAAAAGGTTATCAAAATTAACATTTTACATTGACCTACTTTTCTTTCAGAAAGTGTCTAACATTGTTCCAAGACCCCCAAATTTTGAATCTTGTTTAAAAAAAAATCCTCTCTGGGGCATGTTGTCCCTTGAGTACTCTTTTTCTTTGAATGGATAGATAAGTCCGTACCTATGATTTTTTTTTTTTTTTTTTTTTTTGGACCCCAGGAACAATCCATTTTCTGCTGTTATAGGTCTTTTCTGGAGCTGACTTGAAGAAAAGAGTACAACTCTTTACCCTGCTGTTTGTCCAAGAGTGATACATTTATTTGGGGTAAACTTAAAAATTAATTTATTGCCATTTAAATTTCTAACGATGGAAAACTAGGGAGCCAAACCTCCCTCACTATTACTAGCCCCTCAATAACCAATTTTCATATCTTCAGCATGAGGTGTATAAAAATTTTTATGGATGATAACCAAGAAAGGCTTGTGTCTGCATTTTTCAGAGAGAAGAAACCAATTGGCTGGGACACTGATATTTCTTGGCTTACCGGAGAAGAATTGCATGTAGAAGTGTTGGAAAATGTTCCACTTACAACACATAACTTTGTACGTATCCTTGTATGTTTTGAAATATCAAAAATGTTCAAGTTTTTATGAGTAAATTTTTATTTAGGAAGTATGAAAGAAATATGGATTTTGGGATTGACATTTTACCTAAACTGCAAATTAGTTCTGTTCTTTAAAAACTTATATTTAAACTGAAGAGTTTTATTTTAGTCATTATAATTTCTTTTTAATTTAAAGAAGCAATACATTTCCATTATTAAAAGAAAAAATTTTTACAAAAAATTGTGCGAAAGTATTTCAAGTAAAAAAAAAAGTGAAAATACCTTCCCAGAGGCCATTTGTATAGATTAATGTGCAGTCTTCCAAATTTTTTTCTTTCTTCTATATATTCAAATGTGTGCTTGTGCCCATAAGCCCAATATATTCTCCTTTCTCTTTTTTCTCCCTTCCCTTCATTACTTCCCATTCCTTTTCCTTTCTTAAACCACAATTGGAGTCTTGCTATATGATATTCTTAACTTTTTGAAAAATTCAGCAGGATATCATAGATCTTTCCATGTTAGTACACCTAGCTTTATTTTTATGATGATTACATTATTATCCATAAAATAGGAATTCAGTATATTTTCTATCTCTATTAAAAGACATTTACATTTTCATGTTTTTTAAATCTATTACATATAGGGCTAAACAGTCTTTCTGTATATATCTTGACACACTTGTGCCCAACTCTCTGAAGGATAGGTTAATGGTGGTTGAATGGCTGGGTATTAAACTCTTCTTGAGAATTCTCCCTTTGTCTGATTTTTGCATTTGCTAGAACCTAGTGTAAGCTAAGTGTCACCACCATGAGGCCTGGAATGTGGGACCTTTTCACCTTAGAGATAAGGATACAGTTTCCAGAATTTGAGAACCTATCTTTAGGTAGGCAGAAGCCAGAATTAGAGTGGTCTCTAAGGCAGGAATACATTTCTTAATTTTGTTTATATGTGGTATTTTGACCTTAGTTTATTTTTTTCTAGATGGATAGTTATCACTACCCTTTTAGGCATCAAGTGTTTTCCCATATGCCTTGGTGATTAGTCTAGCGGGGCTCTTGAAGCAAATGATTGATGAGATGATTTCCTTGGGGGTTTGTGCTTTCAGGGTCCATTAGGGGTGAATAATGAAATCAGGTTTGTGCTTCTGTAAATAAGATATCTTTTGGACTTATGTAAGATATACCTAATATCAATCAAATTTACTGTGTAGCAAATAATTTTATAATGATGACCTAGGAAGTTCACTACTATTCATTTTTTTAGCATTACTATTTATTTTTTCATTTTGAGTGGATTTAATTCCAGAGGATGGGAATTTTTACAACACAGTTGAAGAACTGCCAGTAAAATTTTATTGAGAGCCTTCCATTTGCCAACACTGTGTCCTACCTAGGGATATGATAATGAATAAAAGTAACATCATTACTACCTTAGAGTAGAAAGAGAATTTAAAAAGAAATTTTCATAAGCATTCATAATTACTGTGTATGTGTACAGTTTTTTATGTATACAGTTCTGTAGATGTACAGAGACTTCTAACATGGCCTTTGAAGAGTCAGGAAGGTTTCCCAAAGGTAGAAATATCTAAACTTAGACCTGATGGATGAGGAAATAAATAGTAAGTAAAGAGTACTCTAGACAGAGGGAAACAGCAAGAAACATGTTACCTTTGAAATTTTGAAAGAAGTTCTGAATGATGATACAAGGTTGGAGAGAGGGGTGTTAACCATGTAGCAAGAGTTATGGATAGAATAAACGGAGTCCAACTCATGAAAATCCTTGTAAGCCATGTTAAAGATTTGGACTTTTCTCTAAAATAATTAAAAATTTAAGCCGGGCGCGGTGGCTCACGCCTGTAATCCTAGCACTCTGGGAGGCTGAGGCGGGTGGATTGCTCGAGGTCAGGAGTTCGAAACCAGCCTGAGCAAGAGCGAGACCCCGTCTCTACTATAAATAGAAAGAAATTAACTGGCCAACTAATATATATATAAAATTAGCCGGGCATGGTGGCGCATGCCTGTAGTCCCAGCTACTCGGGAGGCTGAGGCAACAGGATTGCTTGAGCCCAGGAGTTTGAGGTTGCTGTGAGCTAGGCTGACGCCATGGCACTCACTCTAGCCTGGGCAACAAGCGAGACTCTGTCTCCAAAAAAAAAAAAAAAAAAAATTTAATACTTTTAAAAAGGGGAAAGTATGATTTGTGTTTTAGAATGATTGTTTTGGGTGCCATATAGAGGCAAGAGTAAAAGCCTGTGTTCTGTTTAAAAAGGAAAAGTATTCCTGTCTGTCCTGGATTTTGCTGTGTATCAAGGAGTGCTGCTTATGCCTCCTGACTTTGTAGAGTCCATTATAAAAGCAGTTTCTTCAGTGTTTGCCTACATCCTGGGAGTCTTTGGGAACTGGGAGGGGCAGGATAGGGAAAACGAGATTTGAAACATTTGCCATGTATCCAGCCCTTCCTCCTTTTCTATAGACAATCAGCATCTTCCTTCCCACAGCCCTACACCTTACAAATTAATGCATGCAAATTGCCTAGCCTATGCCTCCCACTGATTTACCATACATACCATACATATTTAGATGTGCTCAAATTCCAGATTAAGCCTAAACTGTGACAGGAAAGCTATATTGTCCTGTGCCTATCTTTATTGACAAAGGTATACTTACAGATACAAGCATATGTCGCTTAAAATTTCCTCAACTGCATATCCACGTTTTCTCCTCCTCACATGTTTTGCTCTCCTCTTCCCTCCTCCTTCCTTGTCTCTCACTTTTTTTTTCTCCTTTACATATATAACCAGTTACACATAGTTTTCAAATATAAGTTAATGACAGGAAGAAAGACTACAATTGAGTAAATTAATGAAGGAAGACAAATTGAGGGCTTGATGAAACTAAACAGATTGTTAGGTGAATAAGGGTGTGAGTGGTTAGCAGAACGGATCAGATGATTAAAAAATGCTGAGACTTGGGAAAACAGTTTATATTTTGTTGTGCTCTATTTCCTGAGATTCTGCTAGTAGTATAAAGAGGCTTGGTTTGGTTAAATAGTGGCCACATAAAAAATACTGAAGATGTTTTTATTTTTTTATTTCCTGAGACAAATGGAAAGGGAACAAAGCTAGAAATAAGCATTTACTTGTTTTACATGCCATGTTATACATTCAGAAACAGATGAAGAAAATAAGAGCCACTTTTAAAACTCTTTAAATGTTCTCAAAAAGCCAGAATAGATTATGTGTCTGGATATAATTTTCTTGATAAAATATTTTTAATTTTTTATTCTGTTAAATAAGTTTATTGAAAATAGAGTTTTGTTGAAATCTATTTACTGTATCATGAAAAGCATTTACATGTAATAGAATAGATCAGAAAGTTCTGATTTGCATTTTATATAGTCAAGGTAAGTATTATGAATATATGTATATACTAGGTCATAATATAAAATAGATTTCTTCCTATTGTTTGTGATTAAAACTTGAAAAAAAACTGAGATGAATTGAGAATATACAGCAAAGAATGAAATAGAAGTCACCCATACTCTCACCACTCTAAAATAGCCATTGTTAACATTTTGGTATTAATCTATCCTTCTTATGTTTTCTGCTTATTATATACACAGAACAAATACATTTTAAACAATGACTGGCTTTGGCAGGAATGTTTTTTTTTTTTTTTTTTTTGAGACAGAGTCTCGCTTTCTTGCCTAGGCTAGAGTGAGTGCCGTGGCGTCAGCCTAGCTCACAGCAACCTCAAACTCCTGGGCTCAAGCAATCCTCCTGCCTCAGCCTCCCGAGTAGCTGGGACTACAGGCACGAGCCACCATGCCCGGCTGATTTTTATATTATATATATTAGTTGGCCAATTAATTTCTTTCTATTTTTATGGTAGAGACGGGGTCTCGCTCAGGCTGGTTTTGAACTCCTGACCTTGAGCAATCCGCCCGCCTCGGCCTCCCAGAGTGCTAGGATTACAGGCGTGAGCCACCGCGCCCGGCCAGGAATGTTTTTCTCTAGCTCAGTTCTGTTCTGTGACTCGTTGTACGTAACTTGCCTTTGACATGGAATTCTTACATGTTGCCATTTAGTTTCACATGGAGAAATGTTCACATGTTTTGGTGGTCTGAACATTCTAATCCTCTAAAAAATTGATAATTTGTTAAAAACAGTTCTTACTGTCTTTTAGGTGATTTTGCTGTTCTTTATCCTCGTTAGTAAGTTTAGGAAGGGTGGTGGTTCTGATTTTCGTCTGATTACATATTAGTTTTATCTTTTAGAAATAATTGTTTTTACATTTTTATCCAAGGCTAACCATTATATTTTTGGACCACAGATCAGGGAGTCTGATTCTGTCAGCTGTTTTGTGAATTACATTTATATTCTCTCTCTCATCCCTTTATAGCCCCTCCACAGGAAATCACTGTTAATTTTTTATTTTTTTATTTTTTTTTCATCTTGGGAAAGCTCAAGTAACTTAATTTTTAATGATTTCCTTTTTTAGCTCTTTTGGTGATTATTTTCATATTACTAAATACAGTCATGCATTGCCTAATGATGGGGATACATTCTGAGAAATATGTTATTAGGCAATTTCATCCCTGTGCAGACATCATGGAGTACACTTACACAAACTTAGATGGTATAGCTTACTACACACCTAGGCTATACGGTACAGCCTGTTGCTCTTAGGCCACCAGGCTGTACAACATATTACTATACTGAATTCTGTAGACAATTATGACACAATGGTAGGTATTTGTGTATCTAACATAGAAAAAGTGCAGTAAAAATACAGTATAAAAGATAAAAAATTGTTAGAGCTTACAGGACTGGAAGTTGCTCTGGGTGAGTCAGTGAGTGAGTGGTGACTAAATATAAAAGCCTAGGACATTACTGCTCACTAGGGTAGACTTTATGAACACTGTGCACTTAGGCTATTTTGACTTTTTTTTTTTTTTTTTTTTTTAAGGGCAGGGTCTTGCTCTGTCATCCAGGCTGGAGTGCAGGGGCGTGATCATAGCCCACTGTAACTTCGAACTCCTGGGCTCTCATGATCCTCCCACCTCACCTTCCCGGGTAGCTGGGACTACAGACATGTAGAACTGTGCCTGGCTGATTTTTTAAATTATTTGTAGAGACCTCAAGTGATCCTCCCACCTCAGCCTTCCAAAGTTCTGGGATTATAGGCATAAGCTACTGCACCCAGCTAAAGCTACACTAAATTTATTAAAATTTTTTTCAATAATAAATTAATCTTAGTTTACTGTAAATTTTTTTTTTTTTTTTTTTTTTTGAGACAGAGTCTCACTCTGTTGCCCAGGCTAGAGTGCCGTGGCATCAGCCTAGTTCACAGAAACCTCAAACTTCTGGGCTCAAGCGATCCTCCTACCTCAACCTCTCAAGTAGCTGGGACTACAGGCATGTGCCACCATGCCCAGCTAAGTTTTTCTATATATTTTTAGTTGGCCAATTAATTTCTTTCTATATTTAATAGAGATGGCATGGTCTCGCTCTTGCTCAGGCTGGTTTCGAACTCCTAACCTTGAGCTATCCTCCTGACTCAGCCTCCCAGAGTGCTAGGATTACAGGCGTGAGCCACTGGGCCTGGCCTACTCTAAATTTTTTACTTGATAAACTTTTTAAGTTTTTTGGTTTTGGGTTTTTTTTTTTTACTTTTTGGCCCTTTTATAGTAACATTTAGCTTAAAACACAAGCATGTACAGCTGTACAAAAATCTTTCGTTCTTTGTATCCTTTTTCTGTTAGCTTCTTTCTACTTTTAAAATTTTAAATTTTTTCTTTTTAAACTTTTTTGCTAAAAACTAAGACAAACATACACGTTAACCTAGGCCTACACAGGATCAGGATTATCAAGATGTCACTAGAAGATGGGAATTCTTCAGCTCCATTATGATTTTATGGGACCACCATGGTATACACGGTCCGGTGATAACCAAAAAGTTGTTATGCAGCGCATGACTATAATATAAGCATATCTTTGTTTCTTATTCTGTCAACACATGTCAGCATTCTTTAACTTTCTCCTCTTTTTATGATAATTAAATTGCTACCCTTCTTCCTTTCACCTCTATTTCCTCCTCCTTGTTATCTCTACTCTTATGTTATCAAGCTTGAAATCAGTTGCCAATATTTTATTCATTTCTCATCTTCTTCTGAGTTTTTAAGTTGGATATTGGGGTAGAAAATAAATATGTGTAGTCTATCTACTGTCTTGAACTGCCTTGTTTTCATTTTAGTATGTGAACAGTATGTGAATTTTCATGATATAAATAAAAATTTATTTAATAAAATAAATTAAAATTAATTTAATTTATTTAATAAATATATTGGTTTCTAAAAAGTTTGTTGCAAGTTTTTGAAATCCATTACTTTTTACTTTGCAGGTACGGAAAACTTTTTTCACCTTAGCATTTTGTGACTTTTGTCGAAAGCTGCTTTTCCAGGGTTTCCGCTGTCAAACATGTGGTTATAAATTTCACCAGCGTTGTAGTACAGAGGTCCCACTGATGTGTGTCAATTATGACCAACTTGAGTAAGTAATCAAAAAAATCTCTGTTGTATCTATCATTTTAAATTTAAATTTTCTTAATGTGAAACTATTATTTTAAAGTCTGAGGAGTTTTCTGCCTAGTACAGTTACTATAGGGAATATTTTTTAAGTGTGGTTAGAGAGTAATGTGTAGTATAGCCAGTATTTCTCTCCCAAAGTGTAATGCTGGTTCATCTATACACTTAATTTATATTTTATATTCTCTTTTAATTAATCAAGTCCCCTGTCCAAAATCAGTTTTGGGTAGTTTGGGGGAGGAGAGGGAATGTCGTTTCAATTAAGTTAACCATTATATTTTTGGGCCACGGATCAGGGATTCTGATTCTGTCAGCTATTGTGTAAATTGCATTTATATTCTTTTCCTCTTTCTCTCTCTCTTTCTTTCCTGTTCAACTCCCTTCCTCCAATTTATTTATGAGTAAGATATAAAATCTTTGTACCCATGTTATCTATTTCTAAAATTTCTCTTTGCTTTATGCCAAAGTTTTTGCAATACATTATACTGAGTCTGTTATAATCTCTTTTTGTGTCATTGTTGCTGCTGCTACTGTTAAGGTCGTATTATTTTTCTTGATCATTTGAGCAAATAGAATTTAACTCTGTATGTTAAGTAAATTATAATGATATAATCTAATAGATACTTTTTCTTCTAATTCCTTACCCATGAAGCATACTTTTCCCCCTCTAATATGTAGAAATTTGCTGAATGGAGCAATTATTTTAGATTCTGAGCTTGCCTTTGAAAGTACAATACAGTTTTTTAAAATAAGCCTTTGGACAAAAATATAACTAGTTGAATTTTACCAATTGTTTCTGAAAATGGAATTTGATCTCCAATTTTTCTATTAACTATGTATGCTGGTATATGAAGCTTCTGGGTTTTGCACAAGTTAGGTTTGTTTTGTTTTGTTTTGTTTCACCTCACAGTTTGCTGTTTGTCTCCAAGTTCTTTGAACACCACCCAATACCACAGGAAGAGGCCTCCTTAGCAGAGACTGCCCTTACATCTGGATCATCCCCTCCTGCACCCCCCTCAGATTCTATTGGGTATGATTTGACTCCTGCCCTTCAATGACATGTTATTGAACTGCTTTCTTTTGGCTCTTTTGGTTTATTTTAAACCTTTCCAACATTTGAATTGTTAAATTAAGGATTTTTTTTCCCAAATAGCTTATTTTATCACAAATAGATATATACATTCATTTGGTACAGATAAATGAGATTTAAGGCTGACATAGATTGTTTCAGGGTCAATCATGAAAAAATCAAGCCACAGATATTTTTGAGTCCCTGCCTTGTGTTCATCATTTTATTAGGTGTAATATTAGATATAGAAGTATATGTATTCCATTTATGGAAACATTAACATATGAGACAATGGCAAATAATTTAAAATAGTATATAATTATAATCCACTATTTTGATGGAGTATATTAAACTATGTGATGAGGACATAAATGTTTACATGTTTTCAGGAGAAGGAAGAATAATGAGAAAAAGAGAATGCTCAGAAAAACTTAACAAAAAAGATAGGATTTGAGGCTGGGCACGGTGGCTCAGGCCTGTAATCCTGGCACTCTGGGAGGCCCAGGTGGGTGGATTGTTTGACCTCGGGAGTTCGAAACCAGCCTGAGCAAGAGTGAGACTCCAACTCGACTATAAATAGAAATTAATTGACCAACTAAAATATATATATACAAAAAATTAGCCGGGCATGGTGGCGCATACCTGTAGTCCCAGCTACTTGGGAGGCTGAGGCAGGAGGATCGCTTGAGCCCAGGAGTTTGGGGTTGCTGTCAGCTAGGCTGACACCACGGCACTCCTAGCCTGGAAACAGAGCAAGACTGTATCTCAAAAAAAGAAAAAACCCCTCCCTCCCTCCCTCCCTTCCTTCCTCCTTCCTCCCTCCGCTCCGCCTTCCTTACTTCCTTTCTTCCTTCCCTGGACGGAACTTCCGGGCCGAGAGACCGAGCCCAGAAACCCGCAGGGCCGCCGGGCGAGAAACCACAAGTGGGTCAAGTCCTAATTAAAAACTTCTACCAGGGAAAATAAGAAAAAAAAAAAAAGAAAAAGGCCAAGGATTGACGGACTTTAAGAATTACTTAAAATCTGTATGAACCTAGGAATAAAAGCCCGCTGGAGGGTAATGGAGACAGTATAAAATACAAGGGAAATGAGGATGGTAGATTAGGAGCTAGTTGAAGAAAGGCTTATCTAAGTTGGAAAGCTCCTATGTGGTAAAACCCGATTTTGGGAGGAGTCCTTGAGGAATTCAGGCTGGAAAAATTTTAGACTTGAACTAAAGAGAGAAGACAAAGAGTTAAAGGTCTTAAGCAGATACTGCACCTGATGAAAATGGGTTTTTAAAAATAAAAACCACCTACGCCAGTAAATATGGAATGAAAGTGAACAAGAAGAATAAGGAATGAAGAGCCCAAGCTAGGGAATGCCTGTTTGGTAATGAGAACCTCAAGAGGCAACGAAGACTTGGAATTAGAAAGTGGGTAAAGCAGCGTGGAAAATAGAATGGATAGCTTATAAAGTTGGTAAAAATAAAAAATAATAGCTAAATTTATTAATCATCTTTGTTGGGGGATAAGCCAAAAATGAACTTTTTCCAAAAACATTAACAAAGAACATCCAAATATACTTAATTTCCATATAAGGAACAAAAAAGAAGAACATGGATAAATGAAACAATTAAAGTCGATACTTAGTTGCCCCTTGGAACCAATTTCTCTCACACAAATCCTGCTTGACTCTTTCCTTATTGGATTTGAGGCAGCATATTAGCTATCGTTTGGAAAGCTATGGTGTAAGGAAAAAAAAGGAAGTCCCCAACCAGCATTCTGTTCCTAGAATATTCCTGACGGTATTAGTGAAGATCAGAAATATTTTGTTGTCCAGTTTAAACCAATTCCTCGGCCCCTCTCACAAAAATAATGCTGTTTCTTTAGACTGGCTTACCTAGAGGACTAAAAAAAATGAATGACCACTAATAGAACTATAGATTTTTACAAAGCCAACCTTCTGAGGTGTTTCCGTACGTTAGAAAAATTTACAAGAAAAAATTTGTATTAGGAGTGGATTTGTATTTAATCTATTTGGGAATCACTAGAAAAGATGGCAGCCATTATTTTTTTGTCAAATTGTAATGAGTTATCTACTCTGGTGAAATCATTTTTTATTCCTACTGGCTCTGATCGTTAGTGGTATGCAGTTGTGTGTTTTTTTAGACGATCAAATAAACATTGTCTTATGGGTTTCTTTGGTTTTAATTAAATCCTTTGGCTTATGATATTTTCTCCTGACGAGATCTTTTAACATGGAAATGCCTTTCTCATGGCAGGCCCAATTCTGTGAAGCAGAAGTTACAGAATGCCAAAAATGAAATTAAGCATTGGCCCTCTTTGAAGGTTTATAATGGTACAACCCAGGAAACATTTTTTCCTTCCTGCCCTGAAGGAATGCTGTTCCCCTTAAAATAAGAAACCATTGCCTGTTGCCAGAGTATTTTTACATAATTAAACTGAAACATAGATTCTAGTCTGTGAGCAATGATAGAAAAGATGTTTTTAATATTTCCGTATAAAAAGTCATTTTTCCGGGCTTTTATGTCCACTAGTGGTAATCTGTTTGCCCTCTGTAAAGAATAGAAAGCCCAATCTGTTTCAATATCAAATTCCTTGCATTTTGTGCTAGTGCCCTGAAGATATAAATTAATAACTGGTCATGGAAATAAGCGAAATGGATAATGTAACCAAGAAATATTGGAGAATTATACATTGTCCAGTTTTTTGAAATCAAATGAATAGATACCTCCTTTTCTACTTTTAAATAGCTAATAGAATAAAAATTTATGAAAGGTCAACATTAAGATTGCATATCACTGAACAGAAGAAGTAGTCACTTTGCCTTCAAAACTCTTTTAAATATTCTAGATTTAAGAATGAGAGCATAACTGGGTAATTTGCTGAAGGGTGTTAGAGCTAAAATTCTTTTTTTTTTTTTTTTTTTTAAAGCCTACCGGCACCCGGTATTCCCAGGCGGTCTCCCATCCAAGTACTAACCAGGCCCGACCCTGCTTAGCTTCCGAGATCAGACGAGATCGGGCGCATTCAGGGTGGTGTGGCCGTAGACTAAAATTCTTTTTAATTTGGTACTGCTTTAAAGACGTTTGCAGCAAAATAGGTAAAGGTATCAAAAGAAAGCCAGTTTACTGACTGCCAAGATACTTATAAGGTATAAATTACCTTGGTCCAGGGAAAGATTTCCCAGTATGGAAACCCAATTTTATCTGTTCTCAGAAATGATGGGAGTTAGGGATATACTGGTTTACATTAATCATAATCATAAAATATTAAATCAGAATATCAGGTAATTCTTTTCAGTGAGAAGTATAGCTGTTATATTAATTAGACTTCTTCTGTTGGGTGGACCAGCGCTTACTCTCTTTCAGAAGATATTTATGGAAAACTAAAATATAATTAGAAGATTGTTTTTGTTAAGCATGGAATTAGTGTATGGTTCAGATATTTATTGACATCAGGGTATGATTACTTGAAGTACTCTGCTATACTTGCCCTCAAAGCTAAACAAGTTGACTTTGTGACCAAGGCACACCTTCCTTCCAGGTAGAATTAGATACCAACTGCTGAACTTAGTGTCTCTGATTTTGTGTAATAGGCAAATATCCTCATTTTCTAATATTTGCATTCTTTTCTTTAGATATGATAATGAAGTTTATCAGATTAAATCAGGTTTTTGTTGCTTCTGGACCAATGTCTTTTGCATACATATTTCTGATTTGTTATCCACTGCATGTTTCTGTCATATTCCTAACTCAATGGGTTTCAGGAATGACTTACTGCCACTTCTGCATACAACAGATCATAGTTCACTGCAGCCTCAAATTCCTGTGCTTCAGCCGTCCTTCCTCCTGAGTAGCTGGGACTATAGGCATAAGCCATGGCACCTGGCTCTCAGATCAATTATTATATGAGATTATCTTATACAAAGCTAGTTAATTCAGGCTTTTTCCAATTTTAAGTCTTAAAGTATACTATTGCCTTGAGACTTTAAATCAGCCTATAAAAGGTTTTCTAATAGTACTCTTTCCAAGCTTTTATATTACTTAATGTCATTTTTACATTCTATTACCTGCTCTCCAAATATCTTGTTAAAGGGCATACATATTGCTTTGGCTACCTAAAGCAAAAATAAAAACAGCTTTGTCACAAACTAAAAAATTTTCAATAACCAGAAAGGAGAAAAAGGGCACAGATGAAATGTGCTAATTTTTCTAAAGGTCTGTGTCATCAATAAAGTACATAGTATTTTATTATTTGCATATCCATTCAAAATTGATTCATGTGGTTAATATGAACACATAAAGTCAAAATTTCTTTCTCTATCCTTAATAATGTGCCTCAAAGAAGTAAAACTGTTAAGTGGTATGGTTCAGATTCTGACATGCTCTAGTTAGAGGCTTTTTGTCACTATTTCGCCTAACTTTGCTCTTCAAGCCTTTATCCATTCCTTTCCTAATATATTCTTTCCCATCCCTCTTCAAACTCTCTCCTCTTACAAAAAAAATGTCTTTTTAGTCCCTCAACATTGTCTTTCTGGCCATGTCTAATAACTGCTCGATAATGCTAATTATAGTAATATAATTAGAGAGTTTGCATAAGATGGGGTGGAATGATAATCAGTATGTGAAGAGAGTTTATTAGTATTGAGTCATTCATTGATCCTGATGGAGTTCAGTGAGATAGCCATACCTCATCTGTCAAGTTATATTCAATGTCCCTGGTCCCTAGGATATCCTTTCTGAGGGGATAGATTCCTTACAGGTGCTTACAGTTTATCCTCAAAATTTTAGTTTCTGTGAGTTCCAAGTTCATTTTGGAGCTGGTGAGAGACCATAGACTTTCCTATTCCAAAGCAATTTTTTAAAATATTTGCTTTAATGTTTAATATATGATTATTTTGTGTCTCTGGTTTCAATAATTGGACATGATAAAAACTTCAAAATATAAGAGATACTGGCACTAGGAGGAGCATCCTCTGGGCTTGGAAATGATCTTTAGATATTGTTCAGGATTTTCATTCAACTCTAGTGTAAAGCAACAGGTACATCATTCAAGTCCTGAAGTATACATTCTCAAAATATTTATAACTTCCTAATAAAATTTTCATTTTAGTAACTTCACATATCAAGAAATGGCAAAGTTAAAAAAATGGCAGATTTTATTCAGTCAGTCTCTACTTAGAACATATTTTTGTATGCTTTAAAAGATAAGAACTTCTTTAGATGATTAACCACAGGTAGTTTCTAGTTATTTGTAGATTCCCATGGAGTTTTCTGGATAAGAATCAGTGTTCTTATCATTGGTAGTTCCTGGAGAATCTGCTTGAGCAAAGCAGCTTTGGCAGCATTAGTTGTTGGTAGGTACTAGTTTTTTAAATTAATACTTTTTAAAGCCATTACTGATGGATTTTTAATGTTTTATTTTAAATATTTTGAGAATATAAAAATAAGTATATCTTTATATCTTCCATATATATATATATATATATTATTATGTCTATATAGTTGCTCTGAATCTTATCTTCCAATGACTTGATTTTTCCAGGCCCCAAATTCTCACCAGTCCATCTCCTTCAAAATCCATTCCAATTCCACAGCCCTTCCGACCAGCAGATGAAGATCATCGAAATCAATTCGGGCAAAGAGACCGGTCCTCATCAGCTCCCAATGTGCATATAAATACAATAGAACCTGTTAATATTGATGTAAGTATACAGCATCACAAGTACTAGCAAGTGTATGTCTTTATTTCTGCTGTAATTATAATTTAGATAAGAAATAAATGCCATCTTTCATTTATTAGTTTCTTTAAGTGATAGTTTTCTTATGAATCACAGATCAGAAAAGTTCATTATCTTCTCTGATGACATCAAATACTTCACTGGTACCAAATTATAGAATTATTCTGACTTTTTTCCTTATGATACCATCTCTGTAAAAGTCTTATATCTTCAGATGAAAATGGTTTAAACATCAAAGGTAGATAGAAGCCGTTGGGGAAATTGATGAAGTCCTTTAAAAACTTTTCTAAAAATGATTGTACTGTGAAAGTTAAATATGAACTTAAGATTTTTGGTTTGTACTATCATAACTTTGGCATTATTACCAACAAAAACTTGATTCTTTCTGTGTTTAAGAATTAGCATATAGTTGGGACTATAAATTTTATTAAATGTAAAAAAAATTATAAATTTTAATTTCATTTTTCAAGATCACAAATCAGACTTTCTTCCCACTTTTTACTGTGAAATTTTTCTCTGTTTTTATTGGGTTCATTTTAAGTGCCCTCCTTCTAGTACTGGTTTTCCTCAACTAATAAGATTCACCTCTATCTAGTTAGACCTGAGTGCAAAGGTAGAAAGAAGTAAGAGAGGAAAATATGGGAATAAGGAGATTGTGAAATAAAAAATCAAACCATATTTCTAGGATAGGGCTGTTTCATTATGTCCAAAATCATAACCTTCATTTTTACTTTCAAAACTAGCATTCTTTTAGACTATTTCCTTTTTTCTCTGATTGTTACCACTGTTCTCCTGGTCTCTTGGGCTTGAACAAGAGAGAAAGAGATAGAGAAAGAAAGAGAGAACTGGGAGGAGACTATGAATTAATCGATTAATTGTAAGAGTCTTGGGAATCACATTGAAAATGGCTATTATTTATGACTGTTTACTGTGTACCAGGTACTATGCTAAGTGCTTTACATGGATTTTCTTCCATTGTCATTAAAGCTCATAGGTTAAGTAGTATTATTATCTTTATTTTACTGTTAAGAAAATTGGGTTACATTTTAAGAAATGTACCTAAAATTACATAGCTGATAAATTATTGAAATAGACTTAAAACCTGGCTTTTTTTTTTTCCCTATGTTTAACCACTGAACTGTATAGTAGTAGAGGAGAGAGGTGAAAAGATGAGAGGTAGAGAATAATGCCCAGGTTTCTGGCTTATAGATCCTTAGCTTATAGACCAGGTTTCTGATAAATAGATAGTACCATTCATTAAGATGGGAAATATCAAAGGAAGAACAGGGTTTGTAGAAACAAAAATGGTAGCTTTTATTTTGGGCATATTGAAAAGATTGTCAAGGAGCTTTGAGAACACATTTGAGATTGAAAAATGTAAGTTTCTGTTGGTATTAGCTATAAGTTCTAAGAGTAGAGAGCCAAATTCGGTCAATCCACAGTTGTGGGAAGTTCAGAGCTGGTGCAACAAAAAAGAAAGGGATGTAGCCTTTCTCTTGATGTTCCTTCTTGTCTAGAAGGCCTTTTGGTTTTCTACAATGCCTATCCCTCAAGGGCCCAACTCAGAGCCATTTCTTCCAGTGCTTCACCAGTGATCAAATACTATAATTATTATGTGTAGTACTTACAGTCTTATCACCCATACCATTTAGTTGGCAATTAAGCAACAAACTTTGCCATCTTTTTTATTATATTCTTAAGCTTTTATTCTTATGTCATTTAATTTTCATGTGTGTGCATCTTGCTTCCAATGAGATTATAAGCTCTCAAGAACACAGAAAGTTAGCGGCACCACCAGTATTTTTGTATTTATTGGTAGCTACACCTAGTACTTTATTTGCAGGTATATATTTGTTCATTATTATGTAGAAAATATTGAGAAGGCTTTATATAATACATTGAACATGATAGAAATACATCTGTAAAGGATTTACAGATGGGATTTGCTGTACCCCATAAGCCAAAAGTTGTCTATTTTCAAGAGCCAATTGCCATTTTTAAAAAAAGAGATGGGGTCTTGCTATGTTGCTCAGATTGACCTGTAACTCCTGGGCTTAAGTGATCCTCCTGCTTCAGTTTCCCAAGTAACTGGTACTATAGGCACATGACACTGAGCCCAGCTCCACATGCAGAGAGGCACTTTAGAGACATTTAGGGCCATTCAGTCCCTCATATTTAAGTTAAACTGAGTAAACTAATCCAAGTTTTCCTATTAGGATCCACATTGTAATACCCATAGAGACTCACCCACTACTAACAGTGTTGAAAATAGCTGTATTTTAATAATAAAAACAAATTTTAGGGCCGGGCGCTGTGGCTCACGCCTGTAATCCTAGCTCTTGGGAGGCCGAGGCGGGCGGATTGCTCAAGGTCAGGAGTTCAAAACCAGCCTGAGCAAGAGCGAGACCCCGTCTCTACTATAAATAGAAAGAAATTAATTGGCCAACTGATATATATATAAAAAATTAGCCGGGCATGGTGGCGCATGCCTGTAGTCCCAGCTACCCGGGAGGCTGAGGCAGGAGGATCACTCGAGCCCAGGAGTTTGAGGTTGCTGTGAGCTAGGCTGACGCCACGGCACTCACTCTAGCCTGGACAACAAAGCGAGACTCTGTCTAAAAAAAAAAAAAAAAAAAAACAAATTTTAACAGAATCTTTATTTGAGCAGTTTTGATTTTTTTTCCCCCTTCTAGCGTGTCCTTATGCATCCATATTTTCATGATTGTAATCAGCGTACTTTAATTTTTTTTCTTTTTTTTTTTATTTCGGCATATTATGGGGGTACAAATTTTAAGGTTTCAAAAGATGCCCTTTCCCCTCTCCCCCCACAAGTCTGAGTTTCCAGCGTGACCATCCCCCAGATGGTGCACATCTCACTCATTATGTATGTATATACCCACTACCCTCCCACCTGCCCAATACGCTAATTTTGTATTTTTTATTATACTATAAACATGATTCAAGCTTCCTAATTGTTTTGGTAACTGCATAATACTTCATTAAATTGATGTACCATAATTTACTTTAACCATAATCTGTCAAAATGCCTATCATAGGGAAATAATTATTTGTAATTTTTTAGTATGATGGATTATGCTGCACTGAACATCTTTGTGCATATCATTTTTTCTTCTGAATTAATTTTCTTAGGAAAAAATCCCAGAAGTGGTGTTACAGGATCAAAGGGTGTGAACAATTTTATGGTTCTTTATATGGTTCCTTTTTTAAGGATTGAAGGAACTATTGATTTTGAATGGCCTAAAATGGATTTCAACATTTGATCAGGACTAATAATCCTTTTACTATAGGATTAAGTTGGCAGTGCTTCAAAATTTAGTTTTTATCATGTTCACTGGGTAATTTCATATTCTGTTTTTTGAAGTGATTGTAAAACAGGTATTATTTTTAATTAACTTTTCTATTAATGTATATTGGAAAATTCAATGTTATTATTACTTTCTTACTATATGCTTTGAATAAATGTACATTACTGTTTATTTGTAGGACTTGATTAGAGACCAAGGGTTTCGTGGTGATGGAGGTAAGTAGTGATTTCAGTTTTAAAAAAACTCAGGGAAAAATGCAATTGCTTTGCTGCTTGTCTTTATACTTGCTTCTTTCATGAAACACAGACACAGAGAAAAATGTGTAGAGAAAACCCAACATTTTTTGTTTTTCTCTAGTATTTATTATTTATTTCTAATAAAATTTTAATTAATTCATAACATGAGTAGATAATATAGAGAACATAAAAGGAAGTCTTAAATGTACTATCTGCAATTTTAAAATATTGTACCAAAAAAGATCCTTAATTATTACCCACTTTATGAATTTCTATAACCATCTCCAAAGCTGGAGTTGCTAAATTTATTTTGAGGGCCTCCATTGATACTTAATGACTGAGCTTTGAATAAAATAAAACTTGACTTTGCTAAATCATTCTTGGAGGGAATCCCTTGGGTTGCCTGCCACAGCTTCTTGGTTTGTCATATGTTATCAACCACTTCCCTTCAATTTTCCAGAAGTGTTTGAAATGTACATTTTATAGAATAGGCCCATAATAGATAAGCCCAGTTGCCCTCTTATTCATGTAGTAAATAAAATAAGCAGATGAGAAATTGAATTGATATTTCTTACAGATTTTTCATCTAGTATTCACTCTAGCACATAAGACAACATTGCTTAAGAAAATACTTTTTGTAAGAATTACTCCATATGTTTTCCAAGAGATGGTATTTGAGACTATCTTGAAGTTTTCTTCCAGGTGGTCCTTTGCGCTTACCTTCTCAGCTGAATTCTATCTAGTAAGAAAGACCTGTAATAACTACTTATCTTCTTAGAGTTGATCTCTTCACTGTGACCGTTTATCTTCAAAATATCTAAGCCCAGACTTAAAAGATATTTTATAGTCAGTAAATACTATATAAACCATCTTTTGTTATGTTTCTGTACACCTGCGAAGTAACCCAAATAATGATAAGCCTGCATTATATACTCTGGACTTAGTATTGACTATTGCACATAAGTATACAAGTTTTTTTTTCCTGTTTGTTATTTCATGAACCTGCCCATTAATGTTGCTGCCAGTTTGACTTTCGTATGTCTTAATAGCTGTGGCTTTTGATAATTTTGCCCAATACATCCAACATTTAAATGTTGCCATCATGTTAGCATCACGAAGTTAACTTAGTGATAAACACAGCCTGCTTAGTACCTAAAATCAAGTGGTATTTCTTGTCCTTTTTAGGTCACTTTTTAAAAAACCATTGAGTTTTCATGAAAATCAACAGATTTTTTTGAACGTCCAGAATTATTTTGTAAAGCAGGCTTCAATTTCTCTTATTTATTCCCCATGACTTCTTTCATTTCTTCTGTGTGTCTGTCTTCCTGTGTTTGCCTGCCCCTCTCTTTCTCTTCTAACAGCCCCTTTGAACCAGCTGATGCGCTGTCTTCGGAAATACCAATCCCGGACTCCCAGTCCCCTCCTACATTCTGTCCCCAGTGAAATAGTGTTTGATTTTGAGCCTGGCCCAGTGTTCAGAGGTAGTTGGGCTCTTCTTTCTTGTTTTCACCCAAAGTAAACTAAATATAAAACTACAGATGCTGTTTGTGCCTCACCCTCACAGCGTGTGTTTGTAAGTGTGAGAGTTTTCGTACTAAATTTCTGCTTGGCCTGGCTGGAATGCTCTGAATGTGCTTTTCACACATAACTCACTACCACAAGCTTTCTGTATGCTGTCTGTCATAAATTTTTAAAAGCAAGAAAATTCTGAGCTGAGATTTCCATCTTGTTTTTTGTTATCTTATTATTACTTCTTAGTCTTGATAGCTTAAACTCGGTGGGGGGAGGTCTTCAATCTGGATTCCTTTGATTTTAACACATTTAGGTGATAACCTTGATGACTGTTAATATTTGGTAATAATTTTTGTGGTTTTTAAGAAAAAATGTAAATGGAAACTTCAATTATGAGATTTTATTCTATTTTTGGCTTTTTTTGAGATTCTATAATATCAGCATGTTTGAGGGTTTTTTTTCTCCCTATAATGTAGGATGTATATATCTTATGTCAAAGGTAGGGAGCAGTAAAAAAAAAAAGATTAATAGTATGTTTTGGATATTTCAACATAAGAAAATTTGAAAATTTATACTTTTAATTATCCCCTAATATGAGGGAAAAGTTCACAGTATAGTTTCATTCTCTCATTTCATCTTGTCATACTTTAATTTGTGGTTAAACTGATTTTTAAAAATTTAACTCAAAATTGAGACAGATGTCTTGCTATAAATATTTTTAAAGAGTTATATTTAGTGACTCTTGCTAATTAGCATCTGTTACTTACTCTGAATGTAGTAGTGGTGTTTTAGGTTCTTGCTCTCTCAGTCCAGCTGATTCTCAGAAAATCCATAAAATGGGATGGAAGTCAAGCAGTAGTGAGTAACATAATTAAGCTAAGTCATATATAACACAGCACTTACATCAGAACTGTGAAGCGTGGTCAAGCAATTAAGGCTTTAAATGTTGAAAATAAGCAATAAAAGGTAGAAAATGGATTGTGCTCTAGTTAATAGACATTCTGGATACCATTTTCTTTTAGAAAATTATATATGAGATTATAGAAATTCCACATGACAATGTAGTATGAGGTAGTAATGATAAAATTTTCACACAGATTTTACATTTAAATGGTGTCATTAGTATTCTTGTTCTTTGAAAGATAGTGGCTCTTTTCCCCCCAAAGAATAGTAATCATTTTTTAAAAAATCATTTTCTTGAGTTCTTTTTGTTCTGTGTGTGAAATATTACCTGGACATGTCAGTCCTATGCAGCTGTACTCCGGCCCCACTTACAAGTCATTATCCTGAACCTGTCTGAACCAGGTCATACTGTAAGTGAACTTAGGATATTTGCTACTGAGTCAGCATTTTAAAAAGTACCCATAAGAAATGTATGCAACCCTGCCACTGAGACTACTTCTAAAAACTGTACCCTCGGCTGGGCGTGGTGGCTCACGCCTATAATCCTAGCATTCTGGGAGGCTGAGGCGGGTGGATTGCTCAAGGTCAGGAGTTCAAAACAAGCCTGAGCAAGAGCAAGACCTCGTCTCTACTAAAAATAGAAAGAAATTAATTGACCAACTAAAAATATATATACAAAAAATTAGCCAGGCATGGTGGTGCATGCCTGTAGTCCCAGCTACTTGGGAAGCTGAGGCAGTAAGATTGCTTGAGCCCGGGAGATGGAGGTTGCTGTGAGCTAGACTGATGCCACAGCACTCACTCTAGCCTGGGCAACAAAGTGAGACTCTGTTTCAAAAAAAAAAAAAAAAGAGTATACCCTCAGGCTCACTTGGCTCATAGCTTACTTAGGTCTCACTATAAAGGCAGAGATTTTTCAGAAAGCCTTGAGAACCTGCTTTGCTTTGTTTACATTAATTTTATCTTGGTAACAAATAATGTTTATATAGTGTAACAAGGCTCCATGAACCAATGACCCTGACCAATATCTCTTAAATATAGAGCATAAATATAGATTTAATTCTTAAAGTAATTTAATTTTATATTACTGGCTAATATGAAAGAGCTAGATATTTTCAACATTAAGGCCAATATTAGAAAATATTTCGATTTAGGGTTTCCATCTTTTTTTATACTGACTGGCTCTTGAGGTAATGTAAAATAATTAAAAGTTTATTTGTTATCTAGGCTTTTAAATTTTGCTTTTTGATTTTTTTTAAAATCAAAGAAACAGAAACTTGCAAGTATTTTTCAGTACTTGTCTCTTGTTTTAGAGAAATTATTTTTCTTCTAGATTTTGTACCAGTAAACAAATTATGTCTTTATCATCAGATATCTTAAAGATCATTAAAGTGGCCAGGAAACTAAAAGAAATTATAGTACTAATCACCAAATGAGGCCCCTTTTTGGCCTGCTCTTTCAAAAGGTCTGTATTTGAACATGCAGAACATTTTAAAAATAAGTCTAAATTTCCCCCCACCTCCTGCCCCCTGATAAATTAACATGCTTGCAGTTCCTTAATGGATACATTTTTCCTTTCACTAATTTAGGATCCACCACAGGTTTATCTGCCACACCCCCTGCCTCATTACCCGGCTCACTCACTAATGTGAAAGCCTTACAGAAATCTCCTGGACCTCAGCGGGAAAGGAAGTCATCTTCATCCTCAGAAGACAGGAATCGAATGGTAAGAGTGTATGGTATCTTTTTTTTTCACTTCTAAGTTCTTTCTTTTTATAAGTCATAGCCAAATGTATCACCTTTTAGATATATCATGTCCTTATATGATACAGAATTCCCATAATCAAATAAATTTAAGAGCTGATAGCTTTTTGCTTAAAGCATTTTCCCACAACACTGAATTTTTTTCTCATCTATAATATAATTTAGTAAAAGGCAGTTTGGAAGAGTAACAATACCGTTCTATTTCTAAAGTAAGGAAAAAGAAAGTAAGCTAGTGTTTAGAAAGCAGGATTAGCATATACATTCTAAAGGCTAGTCCAAAATTCAAATATCTACCGAGGAACATTCTTCCCTATTTGAAAAATTAACTTTCTGCTGCAAAATGAATCTATATTAAATCTAATAATTTTAGCAATAGTGTATATTGGATAGGTATGTCCATTACCTTACTGTAGTAATTATGTATAGAGATTTTTTTTTGAGAAACTTAATCAGATAATATGTATGAGGAAATTTAGCACTGACTAGAAAAGGGTAGTTGCCATAATATGTTAATCTAAATTTTTGTGATTTGGAGCCAAAACCAGTCACACATATAAAGTACTTGTCCCTTGTAGTCCTCCAAATGATAAAAACTGTTTTATAGATTTTAATAATTCTGTATATACCATATAAATAATTTCTGTTTTTAATCAATTATTTCCATCCTAATATCGACTTCAATATTAAAGTTTTATATTTTTAGAGTCACACTTTTAACTGTTACTCCACCAGAGTGTTTTTTTAAAAATAGATCTTACTCTCTTCATAAATTAAGTACCTCTCAGGCATAGGGTAATATACTCAGTGTGAAATATAAAGTTTTCCTCTTTGGTTTGGTTTGGCTTGACGTTTTATACTATTTTTATCAAGAAAACACTTGGTAGACGGGATTCAAGTGATGACTGGGAGATTCCTGATGGGCAGATTACAGTGGGACAAAGAATTGGATCCGGATCATTTGGAACAGTCTACAAGGGAAAGTGGCATGGTATGTATATAATGCGGTGATCTTGTCACAAGTCATAATGATAGGATATGTTTAACAATTTTATTTAAAAAAAATCAAAAGGAGTATTTACTATTTGCATCGTTAAGCTACTTTGATCAGATGTAAGACTCCAAAAGTTTCTAACAAAATTACGGGAAATAAAAACTGGGTCGCAACAACCAGGACTCCTGTTATAGTATAGCCAATTATTTTTAAAGATGAAATATCCTCTAAGTTAACTAGTCCCCAAAATGATTTTTTTTCTTTTAGAAGTCTTTCTGCTGATAATTTATTTGTATTATAAATCACAAGTAAACATATTTAAAAGTATACTTACCAAAGGAAGAAGTAGAGATAACCAGTAAACATATAAAAAATGTTTGGTCTCACTAGTTATCAAATAATTGCAAATTCAAAAAATATAAAGCACTTGTGTCTCATTTAGACAAAGATTTTCTTAACTTGATCATATTTAGAGTTGTGATCGTGCTGCTGGTGGGAAAATAAGTTGGTATAAACTTTTTTGAGGACAGTTTGGCAATGTGTCTATTGAGCCAACAATTCCATTTATAGGCCTTTATTCTGAGGAAGTAATTGGACAAGAACGAACAAATAGGTATTTTCATCAGAGATTTACTATTAATGAAAAATGAAAATAAATATATGTCCATTAATAGAGGCTTAGGCAAATAAATTGATATCTCCATATATGTTTATATAGGAGTTAAGATGGCATAGTATAGCTACATTCATTTATATGGAAAAGTGTCTTTGGTATATTAAATTTTACAAGGCAGTAATAATACCCCATATTGGCCGGGCGCTGTGGCTCACGCCTGTAATCCTAGCTCTTGGGAGGCCGAGGCGGGCGGATTGCTCAAGGTCAGGAGTTCAAAACCAGCCTGAGCAAGAGCGAGACCCCGTCTCTACTATAAATAGAAAGAAATTAATTGGCCAACTGATATATATATAAAAAATTAGCCGGGCATGGTGGCGCATGCCTGTAGTCCCAGCTACTCGGGAGGCTGAGGCAGGAGGATCGCTTGAGCCCAGGAGTTTGAGGTTGCTGTGAGCTAGGCTGACGCCACGGCACTCACTCTAGCCTGGACAACAAAGTGAGACTCTGTCTCAAAAAAAAAATAAATAATACCCCATATTGTAGAAGTCACAGAAAAATCTATAACAATTTTTTAAATGGCTGTATAGTATATATCTCCTTAGGTTATTTTTTCCTGTGTATTCATAAATATTCACATTGCGTACATACAGAAGCCTCCTAAGATATACATCTTCAGTATAATGTCATTTTTGAGTGATAAGATTATGGGAAGTTTTTTTATGCTTTCAAAATGTTTTTAAACATTTTGTTTTAAGTGGTTATACAGTATCATATGGTACAGATAATAGAATGAGCACTGTATTACTTTGATAATTAGGAAAAGTCAATAAGTTTATTTAACTTTTTATTGAAATATCATACATATAGAGGTTGAATATCTTTAATTCAAACATCTAAAATCTGAAATGCTCCAAAATCTGAAACTTTTTAAACACGACATGCAAAAGAAATGCTCATTAGAAGATTTCAGGTGTTCAGATTAGGGATGCTAGACTACTAAGTAATATAATGTATAATAGTCTAAAATCCAAAAAACTCTGAAATTTAAACCCTCTAGTCCCAAACATTTCACATAGGGGATACTCAACCTGTATAAAAGTGCTCATAAGTGAACAAGTAGCTGAAATCTCATAAAGTGAACACATCTGTGATTAGTGGGAGACCAAGGTGGGAGGATTACATGAGGCCAGGAGTTCAAGACTAGCCTGGGCATCATAGCAAGACTGTCTCTACAAAAACATTTTTAAAAATAGCCAAGCATGGTGGTACGTGTATGTAGTCTCAGCTGCTTGGGAGGCTGAGGGGGGCAATCTCTTGAGCCCAGGACTTCAAGTTGACAGTGAACTATGATTGTACCACTGCAGTCTAGCCTGGGTGACTAAGTGAAGACCCTCCCTCTAAAAATAAATAAATAAATCATTGGAATGCAATTACCTTTTAGGTGATGTGGCCGTGAAAATGTTGAATGTGACAGCACCTACACCTCAGCAGTTACAAGCCTTCAAAAACGAAGTAGGAGTACTCAGGTGAGCTTGTGTGAATTACTGTTTTCTAGAGAAAGAAGCTATTTTCATTAGCTCCTGTTTTGCAGTGGTAGCCACTGTTAGCTTTACAGATTTACTCAAAATGGATAAATATGTAGAAATAGAGTATATTTGAGTGTATTTTATCTTTAACCATATTAAGTGGTATATAATATTATATAGTACATCTGATAGAAGACTGAATCCTAGACTGAGTTAATGGAAATATAGTATTCTGATCATATAAAATAATAGTTCTACTTATGGAAAGAATACTCTTAAAATTTTAAGGTTATCAGAACACATTTAGAGATTGTATTTATTCCTGGGCCTGGGACTTGAGGAAAATTGACAAAGTAGAGTTTGTCCAGGGGAGGACCACCTAAATTGGGAATATTCTAAGACTATAATTTAGGAGAAAAATAGTCAATAGAACTGAGGATAGTTAGTCCAGGGAAGGCTATTATGTTCAAGACGGTGCAAAGTTATTCCAGAGAGCAAAAAAAAGGTTATTCCAGAGAGTAGAACAGGGAAGCTAGTAGTGGAAATTGTGGGAAAATGACTCTGTCTCAACACAAGAAAAACTTTCTAATATTAGAACCACTTAAACAGAGAGGTAGGGGTTAGCCACATACTCAGTGATAAGCTTCCCATAATTGAAGGTATTTAAGCAATCTGTAGTTGCCTGTCAGATATATTTTAAAAAGTGTTTCTGAATAAGGTAGGAGGTTATACCAGACAATTCCCAGTTTCTTCTAAATTCATCCTTCTATTGCTTTTTTGTTGTTAATATCTTTTTCTGACATCTTACTGATAGGCCACTTTGGTTCCTTTTTTAGAAATTGCTAAAGTTTGTCAATATTTACTGTTTGCTGTTACATTTATTTTTACAGGAAAACACGACATGTGAATATCCTACTCTTCATGGGCTATTCCACAAAGCCACAACTAGCTATTGTTACCCAGTGGTGTGAGGGCTCCAGCTTATATCACCATCTCCACATCATTGAGACCAAATTTGAGATGATCAAACTTATAGATATTGCACGGCAGACTGCACAGGGCATGGAGTAAGTTACATTCTGTTAAATCTCTTGTAAATTACTTTTGAAGACCATTGGGGATTTTTTTTTTAAGGCTTTGGCCGATATTCTTTTGGATTGCATTTTAAATTACTGTCTAACAGTGTAAAGACACTAACTAATGGCTAATAATATGATACTAAAAAACAAATATCTTTCTCTAGTACAGTCTTTAAAACATATATCATGTAGATTAAGTATTTGATAATAAATATGACTGCAAAGTTATGGTTAGTACTCAATGTTTAGCTAAGCAATAAAGGTTCAGAAAATAAAGATAGGCAAAACAAAACCCCACTAAAAAGTCAATAACAGTTGTTGAAGTATGAAAAGTGATTATTAATTAGTTATCCTTTAAAATCATTTTCTCTGTGTGCCCATATTTTCTATTGCAAGATGGTCAGTTAATAAAGTTTAAATGAAAATATGCATTCTGATCCTTTTTGAGTATTTCAAGTTGAGTTGTTCATATCTATGGAATTTTGCTATATAATTTAAAAGATAAAGAGTTATTTTATAAAACTAATAGGCTAAAATGGGGAACTGACTTTGAAGGATAAGTTTTGTGTACAACCCTTGAGTGCAAATGAACAGGTAAATCAGAGGATAAAATTAAATTTTGAAAACACTTAGATGAAAATTATAAACTCAATAAAATATAAAGCTCTGTGAGTAGTTTAAAAATAGGTATGATCTTAATTTAATATTTTATAGTATATAAATCACTTTCACGTGCATAGATTATCTCATTTAATCTTTATAATGTTATAAAAGACATGTTTAATTTTCTTCTTACAAATAACTGAGGCTTTTAAGTGACTTGTCTAAGGCCACACATTTAATAAGTGGCAGCAAGGTGTTTAACTCAGGATTTATTTCTGACTCCCAATCCAGTATTCTTTCCCTGTAACCACCATGCAACTTTTACATTATAAAATCAGAATAAACGGGTAAAAGGGTATACATGTACTCACACCCACAGCTGTGACTCAAGATCACTTATAGCAAGTAAATGTAGAGTCAGAACTCAAAACCATATCTGGTTGTTAAATCTCCCCACTGTACCATCTTTTCTTTCTCAAAACTAGGCAGTATATCTGTAATTTAGATTGTTTACAAGCCTATATTCAGCCAAAATACTTATTATAGCAAATTATGACCTTATTCAGTAACATTCCCACATATCCACTAGACCTAAAACAATCTCAGCCTTTCACATGTTAGAATATAAATCTCTTCAACCCTAAAACATTATATTAAACTCTTGTGAGAGTAAGCTATAGCAAAAATAGTGAACATTTAGAGAGAAACAAAGCTTATTCTCTTCCTATACCACTGGTCTCTTTGCTGTTTCTTCAGCAGGCCAAGCATGCTGCTTCTTCGGGGCCTTTATACTTGTTGTATTCTCTTTGGGATACTCATGCCACAGATACCCTTATGTCTCTGTTGATATGTCCCCTTATAGGAGAAGCATTCTCTGATTATCTTATAAAACTAATATTTCCCCACCCCACCCTGTCACTCTGTACTCCCCATCCTTATTTTTCTTTATAACACCCAGCTCCATCTGATTTGTGTATTGTCTGTCACCCCTATTAGAGTGCAAGCTGTATGAGAGCAGGGACTTGATTTTGTTCATTGTTTTATGCCTAATGCCTAGAATAGGACCTGGCCTATGATAGGTACTCAATATATATCTGTTAAATGAAAAAATGAAAGAATGATTACATACAACTGCATATTATCAATAGGTTTACCTTCCAGAAGAGAGAGAAGCCAAATCCTTCTCAATCAAAACAGAAATGTCAAGAAAGGGAATAATAGCGAAAGAAGTAATAAAAGAGAGTAACAGAGGAGAAAAAGGGTTTTGATATAAAAAGGGCTGGCAAAGAATATTAATAGTATTAAAAATAATTTTTAGAAACAATGATGAGGCAGTGAAGTGCTAGTATTGATTAAGATAAGAAGAGACAGTAAAGAAGGACACTATCAAGTTGAATAGCTCTGCAGTCTGGGTAATAGAGAAGAGGTTAATTTTTCCATCACTTTACAGTTTCAGATTATCAGGGTAAACTTTAGTCTATCTACTCTAAAACACTTTAACATTTTTCAATAACTCTCACTATATAATCAGTATACCTGGCTATGAACGTAGATCATTCCAGTTTATCCTAGACTTTAGTAGCTAAAAAAGTACTAATTAAGTTTTAAGCCCTCTAGCAGAATATACCTTTTATCATTAATACTAACTTAAAATTAACCAAAGAAGATACAGTTCCTTTTTTCCTTTTTTGTTCTTTCTTATAAGATGATAACATGCAACTGGTTAAATGTACCAATACATCTTTAGATTCTGAAGGCTTTGGCAAATTAAAAATCCTCTTATTAAAAAGGCTATGTGGGTTCCAGGTTAAGGCAACAGGTCTTTGCTCCCTCCTGAAACTCCACTAAAACAATAATAAAGGAATTTTTTTTAAGCATGAATGTATAAGGATGGAGATAACAGGAAGGAGACAGTAACATTTTGAAAGCTGAAAAGCAGATGGAGAAGTGATAACACACTTAGTTGACCCACAAAGGCTAAATCATTAATTGGCAATGGAGAAATGAAAGCCCACCTGATTTATACCATAGAACCCTCAAAAATCTCAGGAACCGGCACTATCAGCTATCTCAAGGGGGTAAGAAACCAAAATGAAAAGGCCTGTTTGAAAAACTATTATTTCTCTAAATCTCTTTTCTTACTCACTGGGTAAGTGCTCCATCCCTATCCTGGCAGTAAACTGGAAGTTTGTTCTCTAAAGAGGGAAAAACAAGTATCTCTAGACTGGGGGATCCTAAGCTATGTCTAGGACCTGGATACCTTACCCAAAACAGGGAGATTGGGTGACTATGTGCTTACTGAATGATGAATGGAGATTTTCTTAGTCCTATCTTTCATTTGGTTCCCAGAGTGCTAGCAGTCAAACCTTACTCTTCTTCAAGGAATCTCACCAGCTCAAGAGGAAAGACGCAAAGAAAGCAACATCAGCGATTCCACCTAGATCACTGTACAGTTCAAAACAACAAGCCCTTTAGCCAGATACGGTGGCATTGCACCTATAGTCCCAGTTACTCGGGAGGCTGAGGCAGGAGGATCTCTTGAGCCCAGGAGTGCGAGGTTGCAGTGAGCTATAATCATGCCACTGCATTCCACTCTGGGTGACAGAGGAGACCCTGTGTCTAAAAAAAAAAAAGAAAAGAAAAGAAGACCAACAAGCCCATCTGTATGCTCAAAGCTTCCAGACAGTTTGCCAGTCCCTCACTTAGTCTGGTAAGACAGATTATCTCTGGATCACCAGATATCAGAGGGAAAATCTGATGCAAATGAGAGAAACGAAAGCGCAAGGGGGAAAAGGCACTCAAGACAAACAGATGCAGTGCAATGTTACCTCCCCCAGCCCTCAAAAAAAAAAACCTATCAATTTTCTCAGAGAGATAAAAGATGACTTTCTATCCATTGAAAAAGAACAGATGCTTTCTAAGGAACATTCATCTAGGAATAAAAAAAAAGTTAAAATATTGATATTTATAATACACTAGAAATTATACCCTTTGTAATTATTTAAACTTAACTTTTAAATGTTAATTTAAAATATACAAGGAGTTAAATAGTTTCCCAGAATTCTTTTAAGGGGTCCTCAGCAAAAAAAATTTAAAAACTATTATGCAAAATGCTATATGGTTTAATATTAGTTTATCTGCATTATGCAGTTATTCAGAAAGGATACCTGGATAAATGTTTTACAAACCAAATTACATAAATGTATATAATTAATTGGAATACATAACCAGATTGCATGAGTGCTTCTTGTTAAGCGGATCTTCCTGTTTTCTTCTCTAGTATCAATGATTAAAGCACAACTATTTTCACTACATAGGATTGAACTATGTTTTTGTTGTTAGAAAACAGTCAAAATCTGTTCTAATATACTGGCATCAGATATTAGGACAAACAGGATGGTCCTAAGGATCATGAACACGTTCTTTCAGTTCCAACTGTTGCTAATGATTTCATAAAAGATTTTAACTTACCTTTTGGCTTCTGGTCACCCATTTCAGCCTCTGTTTGGTTTTCCCTTTATTCTCCCTGTCTATTCCCATGGATCAAATGACACAAGTAGAATTCCTTACATACCTTACTTTTCCTCCCTATTTCCAGTGCTTGTTCAGTTTTGAATACTAACCATACTTTCATCCTGAGGGCTTTTTTTTTTTTTTTTGGGAATTACTTTCACCAGGTCTTCCCAGTTAGAAGCCTGCTTGGGTAATTAACAACTTCTTAGCTCCCCATCCAACCCTCTTTCCTTCCGTCCCCTGGCTTTATCTATACTTAGCCCTCTAAATGCACAGATAATACTGCTTCTCTCTGGCCATTCCAGCTACCATCTTATTGTACCTCCTTTTGACTCTTCATGTTTGGTTTCTCCTCCTCTGACCACCATTATCTCACAAAGGACAGAATAAACTAGATGTAGTCCATAGCTAAACAAAAGTTGATAGACTGTTGAAATAGCCACTTAGTAATGTACTTGTCCAAAGCCCTCATTTCAGAATATTCTGCCCCCTAAATGTTTTCCATATGCTGTTGAAAGTGATCTTTTCTGACTACTCACCAAAATTCATTCTGAAGTCCCAGGGTATATGCAGAATAAGAGCATACTAACTCATTGTATAAAGAGCTGGAGTTGCAGTCATTTATAAAACAAGACCTTTAATAATTAGCAAAGTTTGGCCGGGCGCGGTGGCTCATGCCTGTAATCCTAGCCCTCTGGGAGGCTGAGGCAGGCGGATTGCTCAAGGTCAGAAGTTTGAGACCAGCCTGAGCAAGAGCGAGACTCCATTTCTACTAAAAATAGAAAGAAATTAATCAGTCAACTAAAAATATATTAAAAAACAATTAGCCAGGCATAGTGGCACATGCCTGTAGTCCCAGCCTTCTAGGAGGC